GATGTTCGCAATAATATAAATGATAGCAATCCAGCGGTACAATTCAATAGGAAAGACCAAGTAAAAATAACACGCTTAAGAATAGGCCATTCAAATTGGACACACTCACACCTCATCACAAAAACAGAACCAAATATCTGTGACATCTGTGACATACAAAATACAGTAGAACACATATTGGTAACTTGTCCCAAATACAACGCGAAGAGAATACAACACAAACTACCAAATTCACTAAATGTTCTTCGAGAAATAGATGCCTGCAAAAAAGTTCTATGTTTCCTAAAGGATATTGATCTTTACCGTCTATTCTAGAATGATTGGATATACTAGATAACCTAACCGTGGTCACTAATAACCCACAAGGTTGATGTGACCTTAAACACTCAAGAAAAAAAAAAAAAGTCTAATCCGCGTACCACTTCGTCCATAAACCTTTGAAAAGTCTGGGCCGCGTTCCTTAAACCAAAAGTCATCACCGGAAACTTAAATAGTATGCGCGCACCAAGTCCACTATGGAAAACACTTCGCACCCGCGTAAAGTCTGCGCGAAGTCCTCGATATGCGGGACCGGGTACCGACGCGGGACCGGGTACCGACCCGGCACCGTGCGAGCGTTTAACGCTCTGTAGTCCCCGCACGGGCGCCAATCGCTGCCCCTCTTTGCCACCAGGTGAAGAGCGGACGACCAACTACTGTTGGACGGCCGCGCGATCCCGCGCTGGAGCATATGCTCGAACTCTTTCTTTGCCGCTGCCAGCCTGTCCGTCGTCAATCTCCTCGGCCTGGTTGTAACCGGTGGTCCTGGTGTGGTAACTATGTGGTGGACCGTTGAGTGTTTCAACGGACCACCATACGCGGGGCGCCCTGTCAGGGTCGGATACCTGTCCAGTAATGCGCGCACTTCACTGTCCACCGAAGTTGTTAGGATACGCACGCTGGGCCCTTCGCACGACCGCCCTGCCGTAACTGCACATAAAGTCACGCTGTCCACAAGATGGCCCCGATTAACGTCCACTAATAGTTTATAATATCGAAGAAAATCCGCCCCTAATATAGGACGCGTAACTTCCGCCATCACAAAGTTCCAAGGAAAGTCTCTCCGCAAACCGATATCTAACTCTAGTGTTACACGCCCATATGTCGCGATAGGTGTACCATTCGCCGCAATTAACGCAAAATCGCTACGCTTACGGAGGACGCCCAATCTATTTCGCGGGAAAACACTAACGTCGGCGCCCGTGTCTACGAGAAACCGCGTTTTTGTCCGTGAATCCGTCACGAAAAGGCGACATATTTCCGTTTTAGGGTCGCCCGTCGCCACTAACGCCCCTGGTTTTGGTTTTCCGGCGCCTTTCCGATCCAGGCTCACGGGGGTTTGGGGACTGAGGTTCGACACAGCGCCATCTAGCAGTGATACGCGGAACTACAATAGAAGCTTCGCTGATGTTATATTACAGTTGAATTGTAATTAATTAATTACTTGGGCTAATGACCATGGCAGTCGATGCCCATAACACTAATCATCATCATCATCAATTAATTACCTACAGAATCCGGTCGGTACTTCACACGTGTTCATCATAGTTCGGCAGTTAGCTGTTGGATGGCGCTGTTAACAGCATTTGTGGCGGGTTTTTTAGAAGATTGTTTCCTTTTTTCTTGATGTATTGTAGTTATATGCATATCATTTTCAATAATTCCTATACTCTATGGTGATCATGAGTAATCGGTCAAGAGGAGTTCTGTTATCAAAGTCGTCGATCAACAAGAATTCTATTTGCACTTGTGAATAAATGATTAATGTTTAAAGCTATCATCGTTTGATCGTATTCAATTTTATTTTAAAAACAAGACCGTTCGCTATTCGTTCTATAATCAAACCTTAATTCAAGAACACGTGTTAAAATGAAATTCAGAATCAAGTCCAATAAAATCAGTTATTTTGCAAAGTTATTAATTTATTGATTATTAAAATATATGAAGACAGTTCCTATGTAAATGAGCGACCAGAGTCGCCCAGAAATGTATAGTCGCGCCATCTAGTTTTAGTTAGGTTAAGTCTTCCTTATAGTTACTAGTTTGTAAGTTTTGTATATAGTAGTTGGTAAGCTTGGTAAAAGACGATGCGCCCCCAACCTTCTCGAAAGTCGGGAAAAAACAAGAGAATAAAACGAGCACGCGTCGTGTACAGAGGTGTCGAATAAAAAGTCTCCGGATAATCGTAAAACAGTCTAATTTATTCTCTCCCACTGAGCAAGTACGCCACACATATGTGGGGACTGAGGTTCGCGAAGGAGAACCTGGTGTAGGAAATGACGTACGACGACTTTTTTCGCTATTTGCAAGGATTGTACTTTTTATTAAGACGCGCACGTGCTGACTCTTTTTCTTTCGTACAAGAAGTGGAAGAACGACGTTCTTCTTTTTCGCGCCGCGTTCCTTATAAACTAGTCTTACCAACTACTATTTACAACTTAACCTAAGAAATAAAAAGTAACTAAAAATAGGAACTGTCCAGAGGGCGCATGTGTCGCTGTCGGTACAGTCGCCACAACCCCTGTGGCGCCACAATAG